AAAATATTTATAGACATTAATCAAATTTCATGAATTTTATAATAATAAATGTAATGTCACTAGCACTCGTGATGGTACAAATCTGAGCGTACAAATCGCTGGACTATAGTTAGTTCTATATATTGTTGTGTGAGCGATTCTTTGACTGTGCCTCACGCGGCGTCGTTAAATCATAGTGCAAAGGATTAAGAAGATTTTCTCGAATCTCAAGGTTTCCTCGCTTCGAGAGAGCAGCTTGCTCGAGCAAGCGACAGCAATTTGAAAGACAGCTCAGCCAGACATATCTGGGCTATAATTTCAGCTTTTACAGCGTGGAAACAATTCGATCGCGAAATTCGTGGGAAATTCATTTCGTCCGATGGTCTACAATTATAAATATCGAAGTTACGCTTCGCGTGTCACGAATAAGTCTCCTGCGGTGCGGAGAATCTTATTTGTAACAGGATCGAGGAATATACGACGAAGATTGATCGGCGACGGCTTGAGGGCGTTGATAGCTGACCCGAAGTGGCTTCCGAGATCGACGACGATCGTTGCTTCCGCGATTGACAATTACGCGCGGGGGGAAAAGAGAGGAGCAGGATGCCGCCGGTTTCTAATCAACTTGAAAACGATCTTGGATGTTGTGCTTAGGCACGGTAACAGGCAGTACTGTCGGCGAGAACCCGGTCCAGAATCTGGAACAACGACGACACAGCGTGCCGGGATCGGGAGCTTTACGCGTTACGGAAACAAGGCCAAGCGTGAACTCTGGAAAATCGTCAACAAGCGTTAGGGTATAATCCGATTTCACAATGGCAATTCTATTAACCCTTTGCACTCGACACTGCATGTCTCCTTCTGATGGGACATTGTACTTAAATCTAGCCGACAGCTCTTCGACAGGCTTCCTCTTTTTTATAATTTGCTCATAATTATAACGAACGTGAAACATTTGGATCATGGAACGTCTGAACAGGCGGTGTTAGAGTGAAAGTCATAGTAACGACGTGAGAGGAACGAAATTTCAGAAGGAATTTTTGAAGGCAGTCCTGAATTAATCGACACTCATTCGAATAATTCACATTGTTTCTTCAACGAAAGTTTAAAAAATGAAGGATTTTATTCTCCCAGAGATTAACCCTTTGCGCTACAAACTATTTTTTCAATTATATTTTCTTCTTTTTTTTTTTTTTTTTT